ATATATATATATATGATCATGAATCTTTGATAATAGTTGGATACCGTGTCATTGTGACCATACTAAAAACAACTTTCCAGAAAAGAACAAAAACTTCCAACTTGACATTTATTCACGGTTCACATTGTTGATTCCAATTTATTTCAACTTATATAATAATTCAATAAAATTTGGCTCCTAGCTAATATTTTCGATATTATATGTTGAAAATTTCTTATCAAAGCGTTAAATATTGACGAGGCGTCCATAAGAAATTAACAATTTTCTAGAAGTGATTTTTGTTAAAATCTTAGTATCGCTATCCGAAATGAGATGTTCATAAAAATTTAGCAATTTTCTAGTGGTGCGATTTTCGTTTAAATCTTATAAAAAATATTATTTTAAAACAGTAAAAATTTGAAATTCCAATGTAATAAACCGAATGTATAGTGATAGAATTTCAAATTTAAATTCATAATATTCAAATTCTTGATTTGCACGTAATGTATTGTCAATTGAATTCATAATATTTAAATTTTCGATTTTGTACAATGTATTGTCAAATCCTAGAAATTTCCTTTTTGAAAAAAATATAAATTATGAAAAAAACAAAACAAAAGTTTCAACTTGAGATTCAAACACTTTTTTACCTAAAGACCAAAAAGTACGTGATGATTCCTTTGTTTTGTTTGTAACTAGTTACATATTTATTGATCGATAAAAAATAATCATGTTGACTAATAAATTAAGATTTGCACATTGTGAGATCTACTTTATGAGGAGATGCTTTCAACATAATCTTTTTTTAATTCTCAAATATACGAGTAATTAATCATCTCACCACAATCGATATTGATAAATTTTTATAAGAATATATTATTACTCATTTGTGATGCAATGTGGCGACTATCACTAATCCAATCCCTTATTTTAATTAAACAACATAATAAGTTGTTAAATCCCTTCTTTGCTTTAATTTTCTAGTCAAACAAATAACTAAAAAGCATCTAACAAGTAACTAACACCCCATGATCCCGGCATAAATAAAGGTAGATTAATTTAATGTCTATAATTCAAGCATATTTAAATATAATCACTAATTTAAATGATGGTAAGTAATTATTAAGAGTCGATGCCGATTTGATAAACCTCGATTGATATTTAATTTTAAAAGCGGAAGTTAAAAGTTTTCGTTAAAAATATTTAAAAATTAATATATACGTACCGAAAATCCTTATTAATGTATATGGATGGCTACATTATTACTCAATTTCGTAATGTAATAAACTCGATTGAGCTCGATTCGACGCTCAAACCTATGCATAATAACGACACAAAATATACATTTTGACCGTTCATAATTTATTAGTACATTTTTCTGCAGCGTAATTGACTCCAAATTTGTCGGTAGATTTTTTATTTTATTTTATGAAATAGGAACAAGAAATATTTAATAATTTTAAGGCAGCTGTCACTCTAAAAAAATAAATATGAAGGAATCTTCCAAGTAATTATATACTATATTTTTCCCTCAAAAGGGAATCTTTAATATTATATTTCTAGAAACAAGAAGAGGAGGATGACCAAGGGCAAATTCGTAAATAAGCAAAATGTACAGCTTAATAGCAATTGTACTTCGTACATGGGAAGTACTGAAATTCAAAAAAAACCACCCAAATTGTAGCATATTCTTGAGGCCACATGGCTATCCACACATTGGAAGGAGTAAAACAAAGTAATCACATGGACTTCTATAAATGTAGGGCCCATTATTGTCTTCAAAGTTAATAACATTCAAAAATCATAGAGTACCTTTTTTTCTTTTTCTTAAAGTAGTGTAACATCCAATCTACTCAATTGTTGTATTTCGTTATTCCTTCTCAAATTCATGAATAATTTATATTCAACATATTTACGAAAAACAATTAATTTCATATAAAAGGCTATTATATATATAAATATATACACTAGACACAACATTCCGTATTAGCAAAAACATAACATAATATATATATATATTTCTATTATAGAGAAATGTGATTAAGAGGACGACCAACGGTAGTTCTGTAAATTAACAAAAAATTCAGCTTTAAGAAGTTGTACAATATGCAGAAAAAATGTTAAATTTCTGAAAAAAATCATTCATGTGGTTTTCACCCATTGAAAAAGTTGAAAATATCTTGTGTACCGTCTAAAAATGTGGGCCCACGTCTGTCTTCAAATGGTTGTCAGCAGTCACCCTTGTCATAAGAGTTTTTCTCAAAAATTAACATTTAATATCATATATATTTTCTGTGAGTTGCTACTCGTTCCCTTTAATTCATAATATAACTAACAATTCCTCCAAATTTATAATCAAGTTTGTAAATCTTGATGTCAATCAAGATTTCAACTATCATATTTTTCAAGTTTCAAGTCTAGGGTTAAGTCCCAATATCATAATTCGAATGATATTTACATAATACCATGCTTCTAATATTTAACTACTTCAATATATTCATAATATGATAACTAAAGAAAATCTCAAACAACGGAGCCACATTAAAATGTCGGTGGTGTCAATTTATGTTTAACAATATACAAAACTTATGCCTTCTTTGAAATAGTAATCATTAGCACCTCATTAATTAACAATCGAGGACAATACTTTCTCTTCCCCCCTACCTCACATGAATGCCCCACTAAAACTTGTATCGCTTAAACTTGCATCACTTGGTTGTGTCCAATCTAACCTGTCACTCGGATAGGGTGGTAAGGTTTTTGAGCCCATTTAAAAAGTTAGAGGTTCATAGGCCCATCACAAATCAAAAGATGAGGCCCAACTAATTTGGGTGTATATTGACCAATACCAGAAATATTTGTTGGCACCAACTCAGTAACTTTGATCTAAATCTTGTATTCGTCTTAAATTGAACCTAGTAACTTAAAAAAACTAGAATCCTGAACCCATGAGATTCAAATTTTGACTCCGCCCTACTCTTCAAGTATTGTTTTAGGGAACATTAAATAAGCTTTGACTATGTACAAGTAACATATATACATCAAATTAGTCAAGTGCAAGAACAATATTTAGATAAAAAAGAATCAATCTTTGACAACAGTAAGCATAATTAGTAAGCTGATTAGTTGTCCTTGTTAGTCAGTTAGCTGAAGGATACAATTAGCGGGAAAGTTGGTCAAGTAACAGAATTAGTTAGATAATAGAATTGACTCAGATTTCACACTACAATTGCTTCTACCTAAATCTTCTTCTACTTTTCATCCTCTGTAGCCGTCAACTTGAGTCCAGCTCCCAAAACTTGGGCTACTCCCTGCATTTTGGCTAACAAGATACCACTTTCTTCTTGCGCGTTTTTTAGTTTGTTGAACTCTACTCCACTCCAATACACATTGTTCGAAAGAAAGATTGAGGTTGCCCATCTCCTGGATAGAAACATTGAGGTTGTCATTCCCCATATTCTTCTGTTCCTCTTGTACTCTTTGAGCAAACATTTCAACAATCACACAACACGAACGCACCTCAATGCATTGTAATGTATAAATGTTCTCTATTTCATGAGGCATATTCTCGATAGAGTAACAATGTTCTAGTACTAGATGTTCGAGGTTTGGAAAGTTTACTGAGCTAGCATCCCATACCACAAGCTCGAGAGAATCCAGTTTTAGGTACTTCAAGTTACTGAACACTTCTTCAGTCAGACTCCAAGTGCGTTGCTCAAATTCTACACACTTCAGTTTAAGAATCTCAAGATTGGGTAAGATAGAAAGAGTGGTCGTAAATCCACGTGAGAGAGAACACCTCTGCAGAACCAACTTCTTGAGACTTGACGGGATAAAATCCATGCTTGACAACTTGTGGTCACAAAGCTTCAACTTTTCGAGCTGCTTCAAGTAGCGAAGATTACTGAGGTAATAGGATGATGATGGCTGACTGCTACTACATTCTCCGCGTCCATGTATTGCCAATTTCTTGAGATTGGGAACATTAACGACGACTTCTCTTGTACAACTAGCAATATCCATAAAGCTTATTGTTTGTAGATTTGTTAAAACCTTAGAAATCCCATTGAAGCCAGCCGCGGGATTAGGTAAAAAACATCCTTTACCCAAACACACATGCCTTAAGTGTTCCATTTCCCATACAGTTTTAGGCAGATTCACACTTTGACTTGTATTCAAAATGAAGGTCTGTAAGTTCCACAGCCTTGAAATCAATTCAGGGCATTCGGGTTCATAAACTGCTAGCGCAAGATACCTTAAATGAACCAGCTGCAAAACTTGAGGCGGAAAACAATCAAAGGTAGTATGTAGTATGTGCAATACTCTCAACAGTTTATATAGTAAAGGACCATACAACTGTGGAGTAAAACCCTTCAGAGCTCTTGAGTGATTGGAAAGGAGTAGAGTTCGGGAGAGGGGAAGCAATGGCTTCCAAGGAACTTCAATAAAGTCAGCACCAAGGTAATTGAGACGACGACCACAGTGCAAAGCATCATCTGTGTAAAAGAGTCCAGGGAAACAACAGAAATTCTCCTTTTGAGCCTCTCTCAAGCCTAAGTCTTGCAGAAGATCATGGACAGCACAACTTTTGATTCGACCATTGGATTTCCTCTCTTTGACAATAACGAGACTACGGTTCACAAGATCTTCCAAACATTCTTCTGCATACTTTTCCAAGTTCTTTACCTTTCTGTTAGTCAAAAAACCCTCAGCAATCCATAACCTTACCAATAGCTGGACACGAATCTCGGTCTGTTCTAGAAAACCACACATATAAATGAAGCAAGCTTTCAAGTGATGTGGCAAGTTTCTGTAACTCAAAGCAAGTATATCTAAGCATTTCTCGTGCTCATCGGTAACAATTGAACCAACAGTTTTTGCAAAAGTGTTCCAACATATCCTAGTCCTTTCTATCTTAGATAGCTGGCCAGCAATAACGAGAATCGTTAGAGGTAGTCCTTGGCATTGTTCTGCAATCTTCTTCCCAATATCCTCTAATTCCAGATGGTCATGTTTACTTCCGAACACCTTATGACATAGAAGTTCCCAGCTTTCCTCCGAATCCAAGAATCTTAAGCAGTATGGAGGACTATTGGATTTAGCATGTAATGCTACATTCATAAGTCGGGTAGTTAGTAATATTCGGCTTCCATTCTTGTCATCTGAGAAACACCTTTTTATACGATCCCAATTCTCTGTAGTCCACACATCATCCAAGACGATGAGATACCGATTAAACCTTAACCTTTTATACAGCATTTCTGCCAATTGCTCACTATGTTTCTCATGAATCTCATCTGTAAACTCAACAATATCATCAAGTAGACCAATCAACAATCCTTTCACTTGACGATCTTTCACCGTGACCCAAGCACAAATACTAAAGTGATATTTGATGAGGGGATCATCATAAACCATTCTAGCAAGGGTGCTTTTGCCTATACCACCCATACCAACAAGAGAGACAACCTCCAACTTAGACGAGAAAGAGCAAAGCCGGGTTTTTATTTCCAACACATCGTCGTCTAGGCCAACCACAATGTCTTGTACTACTGGACTTTTTTCTGCTGAATTATCAAGCAAATAGCACTCAGATTCATTACTTTTTTTGTAACAAGACATTTGCTCATACATTTTCATCACTTCCAATTCAATCAAATTGATTTCGTCTACGATTTGGGACAAACATTCCTTGTTGCTATACACCCTATCATAACACTCTAATAGGTCCAAACCTTTCCAGCTAAATAAAACTAATTCCTCAACATAATCTTGTGCTCTATACGACACATCTCGAATCCGTCTCTCCAAATCTTCCACCATTTCAAGATCATTGCACTTATTTGTAGAATCCACAAGAAATCTCTGGAAAACACTAAGTTTTTCTGAAAGAAACTTACAATGTTCATCTTTATCAAGATTCAGATAAGGGTTAGGACTAAATATCTGATCAAGGGTCTCTAAACAGACAGTCACAGCAGCAAAGGCCATTCAACTAGGGGCAGAACTACAATAGAGGTTACGGTTCGGCCCCAACTCAGTAACTTTGATCCAAATCTTGAATTCGTCTTAAATTGAACCTAGTAACTTAAAAAAAACTAGAATCCCAAACCCATAAGATTCAAAATTTGACTCCGGCCTACTCTTCAAGTATTGTTTTAGGGAACATTAAATAAGGGAATTTTGTCTTCTTTGACTATGTACAAGTAACATATATACATTAAAAAAAATCAATCTTTGACACCATATACCAATATTATCATAACAAGAAGATGAATCAAGTGCAAGAACAGTAGAAAGATCTTACCCTTTTCTCAAGTGTGAGTAAATGAAGCAGAGGATAATGGAGAATAAGAAAAAAAACAAGATTCTTCTTTCAACTTATCTTTTAGTAAAGGGATAAGACGACTGATTTTCCAGATAGTCACTCGTGTTTGAAAAATTACTTAGAATATCACTTATGCTTGTTTTAGGATTATAATATCACCTTATGTTTGTTTTAGGACTACTACTAGGATACCAGGTCGCATTTTTTAATTTATTAATAATTTTTTTAATTCTTTAAATGATCGCTTGTTTAATGTATCTATAAGAGAACATTAATCCATTCTCTATGAAAATCTAGTTACTTCAATTTTATAGCGAAAATCTTTATCCTATGTTTCATTTATGAATATTTGTTGTTATACCCATACAAAAATTTAGGCTTACTGTCGAGGAAAAAATTAAAATAGTTCCTTGAAGTTGATGAAGAAGACAACAAATTTTAGTAACAAATTTTTTACCACCACCTTATAAACAAATTTGATCTTTAAAATATTATTTTTTTAGCATAATCGCTTCAAAAAAGTGTGTCATGATTTGCTATATTTCTTTTTACCGGATAATATGGGTTGTCTAAATTTTTTTAAAAAAAATGTTAATAATAAAAAAGGAATAATGTGACATGGCATCCCATTAGGAGAGAGATAATTTTTTTTTTTTGTCAAATATATTTTGAGGTAAATAGGTAAAGTTGAGTGATATTGTGGTCCTAAAACAAACATAAGTGATATTCCTAGGTAATTTCCCAAACATGGGTGACTATCTAGGGAAATTACTCGGGATAAGACACAAATGACCTAGATAAGTTTAGGTGTGTCTCTGAAATTTATACAATCAGAAATCGAATTATAAGATTCTAAATTTATACAACCAGGAAACCGAAAAGCAAAATTTCACAAAACTATAGTTACAAATTAAAAATAATCGAAACTCTAGCTATATTACATAATATACTCTAGTTGTTTGCCATTTCGCATAATTTTTCCTTAAGTAATTGGGCCAAAAATATTTACCTTAATAGTCTATGTAACATAAATTCATTGTTGACTGAACCTACAGATAAAGGAAAAATCAAAGGATGGTCAAAGATTATCTTAGGCCCATGCTCTAATCTAATCAAACATTAATTTTTTTAAGAACTAGAGAAGATGACAAGCAACAAGAAATTAAAATAAACATAAAAAGCTTATACTAGATTAATTTGATTATATTATATATAATAACCCTCACAACAATAATAATAAAATTAGTATAATCTCGCAAGTAGGGGGTCTGGGGAGGATAAAGTGCACACAAATCTTACTTATATCTTGAAAAGATAGAGAATTTTTTTCTCGATAAAACGATTAAAAAGAGACGGTAACAACAAGTAGAAACACTAACAAGATCATATATCATAAACTTTTATAGGTTCATAGTCTAGAGACGAATGGCTATTACAATAATAGCAATAAAATATTGTTGCAATGACAAACTAGCTTGTTTAAGATTCTTATTTTCATCTTTGTATCGAAGGCTCTTGTCACATAAACGCACTTCATCAATCGATTTAGTCATAAAATTGACTACTTGTCCGTAATTTTTGTCCTTATAATAGCCGATCGCATTTTCTGTACATACCTCTACATATGCATAATACGACGAACAAAAACGGAATAGTTCTCTCATTGCCGTGCTCGTCGCGTTATCATAGAGAAACTCCACCATAGTTGATGTTGATGTTATGAGGTCCGAAGTCATGTTGAACGCGATTGTGCCTAGGGTTTCAAGATCTGCAGTTTTGGAACGAGGGTCTGATCGTAAAAGTTTCTCACATAAAGAAGGAACGGGTGTCTTGATGCAAACATCGGTGACTAAATCTCCCTTCACAAGTGTAGATGTGAAGAGGATGGAGAAAAGAACATATGTAAAAAATGAGGTAGCCATTTAATTTCTTTTATTACTTTACTCACAAAATTATAACCAAATGTTATAATGGAGCTACCCCTATTTATATAATTTGAGCTACCCCTATTTCTATAATGAATTTAAGACAATCCTATCTTATACAAGTCTACTTTTATGTTATAGCCTTCATGCTCTTGATCTGACGGTCCTCATTCTCCAACTAGTCATTTTTTTTAAATTTTTTTAATTGATAAATTCAATAATATTTAATTAAGATTATCTTTAGTAAACTCATCAGTTATTGTATAATAAAATGCAGTCAAACATAAAGTAAGAAAATCATTATTAAGCGTTGATAAATAATTCAATCTATATATTGTTATAATAACACTACAAATACATTACGATACAAAATAATACATTATATAGCGATAATAAATAACATTCGAAATATGTGGTTCAACTTTCAAATACCATTTTTAGGGGAGAAAAAGGTCATATGCTCAATAAACAAACAAAATAAAATGAGTATATAAAAACTTAAAAGGGGCACAAGAGAGAAGCCAATCGTGTTTTCAACAACAACATACTCTATAAAATTACACAAGTTAGTTCTTAGGAGGATACTGTATACACACCGTTACTCCTATCTTATGAAATAGAGAAACTATTTTTGATAGACTCTCGACTAATCACACTGCTAATTCCAAAACTTAGAGAGTGAAGGCAATTAGAAGAGAAAATAACAAGGAAGACATTAAAATTGGCCTTTCATATTTGTAATTATTTGCTCCATTTTTTTTAGGTCCCTTTCTAAGAAGGTCTGGTCCACCATAAGCTCCTCTTCTTTGATGAACAATTTTATGAACATGTTTATCTTCATCCTTGTTGCTCTTTGTACTTGTTGAGTCAAGCATTAATGTATCATTTGCAACTACAAACAATTTCAAATAAAATATTTAAGTTATATACACTGTCAGTACGTATAATTGAACTTGTTACATAGTAGCTACGTTACGTATCATTTGTTCTAGATAGATGAAAATTGGAGACCAAAATTACTTACTCTTTTCCTTGTTTTCATTTTGCAAGATGAGTTCATTATCTGTGGATTTTGGGATGAAGGTGCAAGATGAGTATGGCAAAGTTTTCAAGAATATAATGAGGCAAAGCCATGAAACTAATACAAGAATTTTCATGGTGTTTATTGTTGTGAAATTTGTTTTATCTAAGAGTTAGGGAAGTGTTTTAGGGCTATTTATAATAATTTGTATTCAATTGTACAAAGAATCTTTAAAGATTGGCAAATAATATATCTAACGAACCAAAGTTGTGGTAGAGGTAAATGTTTCATCATCTTTAATCAGAAGTCTCGAATACGAGCCTTGGGTATGCAAACCTTTTATTAGGGGACACTTTATTTTTAATATGAAACTTTTCGACATATGAAATCAAGTTTAATCGAACTCTAATGTGAGTATCAAATGAGTGGAAAATCAAGAGAAAAAAAGTTCAAGTGCAGCCAATGTGCTAGTTTGGAGAAACACAATGTCTTGCTTTACGCGGTATAGACTTAATGTGTCGTATTTGTAGTTTCTTGTCCTTCGATTTCTGTTATTATCTATTGTTTCTTTGCTTTTGTTATCACAATATTTTGTCGTTGTTATCGTTCCATTTTTCGTATGTTAGGTACTGATTTCTCCATTATTTGTATGTCTGCTTTACATACTCTTGTAATTTATTTCTTTTTTTTTAAATTGCTTTGATATACGTTATTTGAGCTGAGAATCTTTTGAAAATAACCTCTTTATCTTCAGTTCTCCACAAAATAGGAAGAAAATATGTGAACACTCTATCCTCTCCGAAAGTCACCCGTGGGATTACATATTTGTTGGAACCAATTGGACTTTGAATTAAAATTTAGGGGCAGTTTTAATTTGAAAATGAAAAGTAGTGAAAATGAATAAAAATACCAAAAAAAGAAAACCCCAAGCCATAATACACATGTGTGGTGGAACTAAAAGCATAATATATGGAACCTTTTTTGTAGAATCTAATTCTCATTTTACAAATCAAATTGGCTTAGTCATAAAGATTGCTGGATCAAGATTTTTCTTTATAAAAAAAATTACTAGATATTTAAAGGAATTATCATATAGTAACTCATTATATTTCACTATATATAAATCTGTTTGACTAAATATAAAAAATTAAGAAGAAAAAAAACTTGAAATTTGTAAACATGTTATGATATTTGTACAGTAATTTTAAGATCATTTCGTCAAGTATAAAATAAAAAGTTTAAAATCAAATTGTTTTCAAATAAAGAAAATAATGTCACATAAAGGTATGTGTAAATGTTTTATCAACGAAGTAAATAAATTTTTTAATTTAATTCTAAGAATAAAGATTGTTTTGTCAATAAGATAAGGTCATGAAAAGGAAGGAATTGATTCCAAACAATCTTATAGAAAAAAGGAGATTTTAGATAGACAATGGAATAATTTAATGCACTATTTTTGCAAAACCTAGTGTTATATTTCAAATTAAATGCTTTTGCTTTATACCTTTTGTTTGCTCATATTTCAAAAGGAATTTTGGCAAATAAATTATTTCTTGTTTCACTCAATAAGAACCGTCAAGTGATTCTTGAAAGCTTTCAATACACTACTATAAACAATGAAAATTCTCAAGACAATATCGCGAATACCAATCTAATTATGTGACGTGTAATTAAGTCGTTAAACTCATTCCCACTATACCAAACCGATTCTCAATGACAAAAAGTAAAACGTTACATTTTAGCAGACAGATGAAAGCTAGGTCCCTACTACTCCTTCATTCTTACAATCCGCAGGAGTCAATAGAAAAGGCAAATCTCGTATGACACACCAGATCCGTCTCAGATAACTTGAGCAAGTGTGTCCAAGAGCAAAAATAATTTAACTTCTCAAGAATTCAGACTTTTATTAGACAGAACTGATACTGCATTTGAAACAACACAACAGACAAGTATAAGAGCAAGTATTTTCAGATGATCAAAGAACTAAAATAGGCTTAGGGAACCAGTTATTGGCACGTAAAACCAGTACATGATCACAAACCATACACCTTAGACGTGGAGCTAACTGAGGGTTCGTTGGATGTGTTAGCAAAATGACTAGTTTGGTTTAGCTCGTCAAGCTTGTAACAATTTTCAGAGGATCAAAATTGGCTTAGGGATCCAATTATTGGCGCGTAAATCCAGCAGATCACAAACCATAAGCCTTAGACGTTGAGCTAACTGAGGATTTGTTGAGAGTCTCTTCAAAGAGCCAAAGTAAAGATTGTTGATGTTCCTTGAATCTTGTCTCTCATCAACCACCTTTTTAATAACTGAAAAATGGCTTCAACGTTCTCTTCTGGCGGACAACATTTAGGCTTTTCCCCCAACAGTTCCTGTTAACAAAACCATTATATATAAAGAATAATCCATTTGGGGACCATATTTAGCTTAAAAAGCTCTCCAATAAGCCGTATATTGCCAAGAGTACGCGATTTGATAAACTTGATCTCCTTGTCCATACGTTCTGAATCCTGCTCATTTCTTCTCCAAGTAATTTGTAAGTACCTTCAATTGCCTCCTGACAGTTATTCCATAGAACACATTTGAACGTAGTCGATTCACCACCATGTTCATTAGAAAGAAATGAAGGCAGCATTTCATTTAGATCACAACACATCTCCAGTAGTCTACAATGATAAAAGAATAGTCATCAAGACACATATCATAAAGGAAGTTCCTATATATCAAATTTCTACCATATTAATACAAATACTCACATTGGTATCTACATGATATCGACAACCATTTTCACCAAACAGTTCAACTTCAACTTCTTGTTTGATTTTAAGAATATGATTGGAAATGTTAACCACCTAAAAAACATAAGGAAGACACATATTGTAATTGAATTGAATTGAATCTCAACAAACAAACAAAGACGTTATCGAGTAACAACAAATGTAAACAAACATCAAGAACACATACATATTTAACAAAGAGTCCAAGTAAAGAGAATTGATAATCAAAAACATAGTTGAAGATGAAATGCAAAATCCGAAACACAAAGCAGAATGATCAAGAATTTGACAGATGATATAAACAGTCTCCGGAATAATTTGTTCACTAGCAACATAGTAAAATCCTGCAGGTGTTAATCTTTACAAAAGACTTAAATAAATCACAATCACAACTCGCTAATATCCCTTTTGAGCATTTCTGAGATATAAATATAAAGAAAATGAAAGGTTTTGTTTCTGCCTTGAACTCTTAAATGAGTAGCATTTACTTCAAATTCACCTGGAAAAATGAAAAGGCAAACATTTCTCATATTCGTATGCTTCTACTCTCTCCGTTTTTGCCTTCACCTGTGCAAAAAGGAAAGAACATTAGATCATAAGAGTATTTTTAGGCATGAACAGATAACAACTCCAAGATAGAAACAATGATGTGTCACCTCATCCCTCCTACGGACCAAGTTACTTGGACGTAAATCCAGAACATCACAAACCATAAGCCTCAGCCGTGGACCCAACTGAGGATTTGTTGAAAGCTCCTTCAGCCGACTAAAGTACACATCGTTGATGCACCTTGATTTTTCGTTCTTATCAAGCTGCTCGCAGATGATGTTGAAGACCTGACAAATGGCTTCAACATTCTCCTCTTCTGGACAAATTTTGCGATCTTGTCCGAATAGCTCCTGTTAATAAAAAACCAGCAAAGACAATCATTTGTACAGTTCAAGGAATTAAAAGCCATCAATCAGCTTGGAACAAAAGGACTTGAGCAAAAGGTAAGCAATTAACAACCTGAACAATGTGATGAACAATATTTTCCAGGATAATTTGTTGCTTAAAAAGCTCACAAATAAGTCTAATATTCCCAAGATAGCGCAATTTGATCAACCATTCTTTGTCCTTACGTTCTGACTCCTGCTCAGGGGCTGTCATTTGCCTCGCCTCTTCTCGCAGTTTGTGAGCACCTTCAAATGCCTCCTGACAGTTATTCAACAGAATGCGCTTGAACGTAATCTCTTTGCCACCAGGTTCATCAGAGGGAAATGGAGGCAGCTTTTCATTGAGATCAGAACAGAGTTGGGCATACATTGAGGAAAATGTTGGTTCCAGTATAGCCTTGTCAAATATCAAGGAAACAACAACCTAGAGTGAAGATGAAAACACGTTAAATCTCCAAGGTGAACGATGGAAAATTTGAACCGAAAACAACAACAAAAAGATATGTATCTATGGGAGGACAAACCGTTAGAATGTCTGCACTAGTTATCCTGGATATTATCAGTTGATCTTTGAGGAGATCAAATCTCTTCTGAGTTGTCTGGTTAAGTATACTGCAAATCGATATTAGTTAGTTTCAAATAATAGAACTTCCAAATCAAGCAGTCCACGGGCACGTGACGACACATCATGTGAAGTTTTATACCGCAGTCTAAATAACAACGACATTGATAGACTTGATAGCTACTTCTAACATTTTCGCCTAACTTAAATTTTAACTAAGTTTTCTGATAATATATATGGAACAGCCATTCTCTGTTCCACAAGTGCATTCCAACACAGTTATCTGACTTGAAAACTGCAAAGCAAAATCAATATCACGCAATACGTGGAAAACCATTCAGGCTCGAATGGATGTAAAAACCACAACCTACACTCTTATAAGACTACAACAAAATTTCACTAAAACACCAAGCCAAAGTGGATTAACCCCACAATCCAAAGGACTTGCCCCTTTATAACAATCCTAGACTGTTGCTTCCTTTCAAGCTAACTTTAGTTTGAAACAACAAACTTCAAAAGTGTTTTGAAACTATTGCATTCACTAGAGTTGACACGAGAGAATCTGCTTCGACTTTTGAAACAAAGTTCTTTTAAGATTGAGAGGATTGAACCATAATCAAGCATGTATTTTTTGAATTAAATGGAAAACTGTTACAGAGTGGGAAAATACCTCATCACAGTCTTAAAGAAACGATTTTTGTCAGAAAAGTTGCTTTTTCGAGCCATTGAGAATGGCAGCTCAGTTTTGATTAATGTAGAAGCAGGTCCTCCCTGATTCACAAATAAAGGTTTCTGAGATCAAGAAGTACTGATGCATAGTTTCATGTCAATACACAATTATAGTCTTAAACTCGAGATAACAAAAAAGCACTTGCCACTACAAAAGAAAAAGTTTGAGAGATGCGAAGAAAAGGATGTATGTAGTCAAAACAATACAATAAGCATTAGATTAAAAACTACCCCTTGGTTGAAGATGAAAACACATACATATTTAACAAACAGTCCAAGTAAAGAGAGTTGATAATCAAAAACATAGTTGAAGATGAAATGCAAAATCCGAAACACGAAACAGAATGGTGGAATAAAGATGAAGAATTTGACAGCTGATATAAACAGACTCCGGAATAATTTGTTCATTAGCAACATATAGTAAATCCTGCAGGCGTTAATCTTTGCAAAAGACTTAAATAAAGCACAATCACAACTCTCTAATATCCCTTTTGAGCATTTCTGAGATATAAATATAAAGAAAATGAAAGGTTTTGTTTCTGCCTTGACCTCTTAAACATCAATGAATAGCACTTACTTCAAATTCACCTGGAAAAATGTAAAGGCAAACATTTCTCATATTTGTATGCTTCTACTCTCTCCGTTTCATATTACTTAGCACATGTTGACAACTTAATGTGAAGGCTATGGAAGGGGCAGAAGTGAGCATCTCACATTCCTATAGAGAAGCCAAACAGGTGGCTGACTTCCGGGCCAAATTAGCTTCATCGACTGGAAATGGTACCTTCTACTTCTCTTATCAACAGCTCCCGAAAGAAGCGAATGGGTACTCTTTCAACTAGTTAGGTGGCAACTACCTTGCATGAGAAGAAGATATGACAAATGTATTTTTTTTGCTTATTGAGTGGAAGGTTATAAGTTTGTTGCCTTCCCTTTTTTGATGTCCTAATTTCCACTAGAGGTTAGGTACATGCCCCCCTCTGTTTTTGTGTTACTTATGTTGGAAATTATAGACATGGTAGGGGTCAAGCCAAACCCCCCACACCTAATAGCTTTAAGCTGTGATGGTGATGGCTTAAATTTAAAAATAAAAAAAAAGTGCTGGTTTTTGCCTTCACCTGTGCAAAAAGGAAAGAACATTAGATCATAAGAGTATTTTTAGGCATGAACAGACAACAACTCCAAGATAGAAACAATGATGTGTCACCTCATCCCGCCTACGGACCAAGTTACTTGGACGTAAATCCAGCACATCACAGACCATAAGCCTCAGCCGTGGACCCAACTGAGGACTTGTTGAAAGCTCTTTCAACCGACAAAAGTAGATATCGTTGACGCGCCTTGATTCTTTATTCTTATCAAGCTGCTCGCAGATGATGTTGAAGACCTGACAAATGGCTTCAACATTCTCCTCTTCCGGACATTTTGTGGGATCTATTCCTAATAGCTCCTGTTAATAAAAAACCAACAAAGACAATCATTTGTACAGTTCAAGGAATTAAAAGCCATCAATCAGCTTGGAACAAAAGGACTTAAGCAAAAGGTAGGCAATTAACAACCTGAACAATGTGATGAACAATCTTTTCCGGGGTAATTTGTTGCTTAAAAAGCTCACAAATAAGCCTAATATTCCCAAGATAGCGCAATTTGATCAACCATTCTTTGTCCTTATGTTCTGACTCCTGCTCAGGGGCTGTCATTTGCCTCGCCTCTTCCCGCAGTTTGTGAGCACTTTCAAATACCTCCTGACAGTTATTTAATAGAACGCGCTTGAACGTGATCACTTTTCCACCAGGTTCATCAGAAGGAAATGAAGGCAGCTTTTCATTGAGATCAGAACAGAGTTGGGCATACATTGAGGAAAATGTTGGTTCCAGTATAGCCTTGTCAAATATCAAGGAAACAACACCCTAGAGTGAAGATGAAAACACTTTAAATCTCCAAGGCGAACCGATGGAAAATTTGAACCAAAAACAACAACAACAACAAAAAGATATGTATATATGGGAGGACAAACCTTTAGAGTGTCTGCACTAGTTATCCCGGATATTATCAGTTGATCTTTGAGGAGATCAAATCTCTTCTGAGTTGTCTGGTTAAGTATACTGCAAATCGATATTAGTTAGTTTCAAATAATAGAACTTCCAAATCAAGCAGTCAACGGGCACGGGATGACACATCATGTGAAGTTTTATACCGCATGCAGTCTAAATAACAACGACATTGATAGACTTGATAGCTATCTCTAACATTTTCGCGTAACTTAAATTTTAACTAAGTTTTCTGATAATATGGAACAGCCATTCTCTGTTCCACAAGTGAACTCCAACTCAGTTATCAGACTTAAAAACTGCAAAGCAAAATAAATATCACGCAATACGTGGAGGCTCGAATGGATGTAAAAACCACAACCTACACTCTTATAACAATCCTAGACTGTTGCAGCCCTTTCAAACAACAAACTTCAAAAGTGTTTTGAAGCTATTGCATTCACTAGAGTTGACAAAAGAGAGAATCTGCTTTGACTTTCGAAACAAAGTTCTTTTAAGATTGAACAACTGTTACAGAAGGGGAAAATACCTCATCACAGTCTTAAAGACACAATCTTTGTCAGAAAAGTTGCTTTTTCGAGCTGCTGGGAATGGCAATTCAGCTTTCATTAGTGTAGGATCAGGTACTCCCTGATTCACAAACAAAGGTTTCTGAGATCAAGAAGTGATACATATATATAGCTTCATATCATACACAATTGCTGAAAGATATAAATAAAAAGACATATCACACATCATTGTAAGCACTGTTAGAAAATTGGCATTTTTTCCAGCTTATTATTTTTACTGTTTTTTACTTATTTCAGTTTAGTGCTTCCTATTTTTAAGCTAGACTTAGTCAACTTTAGTTGCTCAACTTTCTGAAGTTAGTGGCCCCTTTAATGGCTGTTAGTGGCCCCTTTTATGGTTGTTAGTGGCTACTAGATAGGAAATGGTTAGGTTTTTCCTTGTATAAATTCAGATCTTATGCAAATTAATACAGAGTAGGAATTTCATAAGTTCACTCAATTTTTATTCTTCAAATCAGTTTCTTGAGTATTTTTGTTCTAACAG